TAAGCAGTTACCAACAGGATTTTTTATTATTTTTTTTTTTTTAGGAAGTATACGATAAAACCACTGCACAGTCCTTAAGGTGTGTTTTAATATGACATAATCTGGACCCACATTCAGTGCTCTCAGTACCCACAAGAATGAGGAGCCAGCAGGAACCCCACAGGTCTGCCCCATATCCCAGCAGGGCCTCAGGGAACCCTACAGAACTACCCCACATCCCACCTCAGGGAACCCCACAGACCTGCCTTAAACCCCACCTCAGGGAACCCCACAGAACTGCCCCACATCCCCAGAGCAGAAGGGCTCCCACAGCACCCTTAAGGGACCCTAAAACCCCCCATAACCAAAAAGGAACCCCGCAGCACCTCACCCCGCAGAGAAGGGCTCACAGCACTCCTCAAGGACCCCACAGAACCCCAAAACTCCATTCCCCATAACCAAAGGGACACCACAGCACCCTTCGGTTACCCCTCAGGCTGCGAGATCTCACCCCAACGCCTAGCGAGGGGCAGAAGGGACAGGACAGAACCGGAGGTAACGAGGTGAAGCATCCCACAGCTGGGCAGGAGGACGAGAAACAACCATTCCCCGGCTCCCCCCTCACTTACCCGCCCCGCCATCTTGTCGCCTCACACCGCAGCGCAGCGCCATGGGGCGGTGCTGCGCATGCGCGGAAGGAGGCGGAACGGACAGAAACAGAGACGCTGCGGGTTCGAGGCTGACCTCGGCCGTGTGCAGTCAGGCGGTTCCGTTTTATAGCCCACAGTGTCGTTATTGAGCACCAAAACCTTATCTTCAGGGCACTTGAGAATCAAGGCACTGTTTTCTCACCTGCTGCCTGATTTTTCACACCTGGAGTCTTATTTTAGGGCCCAAAGCATTATTCTCATGGTGCAAAGCCTCCCCTTGGGCATCCATGGCATTCTGTGATAGGACGAACTTCATTCTATGGGCCCAGGCCTGAATTTTAGAGCCCAAAGTCTCCAAAGCCAGGAAAGCAACAAACCCACCCCAAAACCCATCACAGGGAACCCTACAACCTGCCCCACATCCCATCACAGGGAACCCTACAATCTGCCCCCCATCCCACTACAGGGAACCCTACAGCCTGCCCCAACACGGCTCTTCATCACAGCACCCATCCTTCAGGACCTGCTTTTTAAGGGCCTTTTATTATGGCATGCGCCAGCAGACAAGGGAAGAGCCCCCGATGCCATCTATCTGGACTACAGCAACATCCCCATAACATCACGGAATCACTGAATAGCAGAATGGTTCAGGTTGGAGGGGATCTTAAAGACCACCCAGTTCCAACCCCAATGCCACGTGCAGAGCTGACGGCCACCAAACCAGGCTGCCCAGATCTCCACCCAACTGGCCACGAATGTCCCCAAAGCACCCACAACCCCCCAATTCTTCTCTGCAGGGCTGCTCTCAGTGAGCTTTTCTCCAGCTCCTACTGGGATTGCCCCAACCCAACACCCGGCACTTGGCCTTGTTAAGCTTCCTATTCAAACACACTATGCTAATAGCATCTCATCGTGCTTAGGTTTGCCTACAAATTAGAGGTACATACAGATCTAAAAGCCCAGAGCTGCACTCCCAGCCTCCTAACATATGCCAAGCCTTGGAGTTAAGCTCATCTTTTGGTAGGGAGGACTTGGGGCATGCGAGACCAATTGCTCAGCCTCTGCTTGGAATGCAGCCATATTCTGCCCATGCAGGTCCTGTTTCCCCATGGTCTGCTCCCACTGACTCTTTGCAGCCAGACTTCTGGACGTGGATTTTTATGAGGTCCACCTCCTGGGATTTGGTTGAAGCAATGCTTTGCTCTTCAGAATAGATCATATTGGACAGACTGTCTCACGCTGAGAGATGAAAAGCGCTGCATCCCCCAGTGTAACGTTCTGTGGGAGGATGAGATTCCAATTGTGGTCTCCTGTCTTGGATTAGCTTTGAAGGAGGAAGGCAGCAAGTGATTGGACTACAAAGCGAGGTTCAATACTGTCTCCAAAGCTGCCCTCAACAACCTGGAAATCAATTCTGGGCACAAGCTGCGGTGCATTAGCAACCTGTTACATCAACTTCCTGAGCAGGGCTTCGTCAACATCATGAAATATTAACATTGATTTAACTGCCTTGAACAGGTAGTAATTCCGTGGTAGTAATTCAGTTGGCATTCAGGTAGTAATTCATGGCAGGGCATGAGGAGCTCCTGCAAAATGGAGGCCCCCTCAGGAGGATGCTTTTTGCACAAGCTCAATACCATGCTCTGCACCCCAGCACTGAACTCTGCCCAAACAGCACCATTAGGGGAAGTTTTCTCACCACTCTGAGCTTCCCAAAGCTCTCTGTCCTATGGCCTTAAAAAGTCTTCCAGAAACAAGCACAAGGAATATGACCTCTGCATCTGTAGAGAGGCAGTCCTGCTATGGACCACTCAGCAACCCGCACCCAACCCACAGTACAGTTCTGTAACACCAAAGACCCCAGCTGACATCCAGGCTGCCAGACAGGCTTCATTTTCAACAGCTCTTCCTTCCTGAACTGAATGTGTTTATGGCTCCTGATAGATGCTTCCTCATTGTGTGCAGCTCATTTTGATGCACTTGATAGGGAATTTGAAGTCTCAAAGACACAAAATGCTAAGTAAATCATGCAAAATCCAGCTGCTGGCAGACAAACCCTACTGAGTCAGACTCTGCCCACCCTCAGCAAGTTTGCTCACAATATGAAGCTGGGAAGAGTGACTGAGACACCAGAAGCCTTGCTGCCATTCAACAGGACGTGAAGGGCTGGACAGAGAGGAAGCTGGTGGGGTTCAACAAGAGGAAACGCAGAGTCCTGAACCTGGGGAGGAACAGCTGAAGCATCAGTACAGGTGGGGGGCTGAGCTGCTGGAGAGGAGCTCTGCAGAGGAGAACCTGAGGGGTCTGGTGGGCAGAGGTTGAGCATGAGCCAGCAGCGCGCCCCTGTGCCCAAGAACGCAAAGGGAACCCTGGGGTGCATCGTGTAGAGTGTGAGCCCTCAATGAGGGCAGAAGCTTCTCGGTGGCATGCAGCAATAGAACAAGGGGCAGAAAACGGAACACAGGAATTTCCACACTAACACAAGGAAGACATTCTTTACTCAGAGAGGGTGACAGCACTGGAACAGGCTGCCCAAAGAAGCATCCTCAGGAGTCTCCTCTGGAGACACAAGACATGCCTGGATGGGATGCCCTCCTGTGTGACCTACTGCAGGCAACCTGCTTCAGCACGGGGGCTGGACTGAATGATTCTACAGATCCCTATGCCTACAATTCTGTAATTCTCTTCAGATTCGGGGCCAAAGAGAAGCACACCACCTGGTCCTGTGTCCCAGCAACACACCATCTCCCTGCTTAAACAGGGCCTCATGGAGCTCCAGACAGGATACCAAAAATCTTAATTTAGTTATATTCAAATTGAATGCCTCTTGACGCCCCAGAGGGGTGAGAACTGGTCCATTTGTGTGGGGAAGCACCAAAGAGCATCTGTTAGGCAGAGAAGTGCCAAAGAACAATGTACAAGTAGGTGTCAGAGCAATGTTTATACCCCAACATCAGTACCAGCTATGGGCAAATCGCACAGGACTCACAGATGGAACATTAGATTTAACGTGCACAAATAGGTGGGAACTTTGTGGACACTGTATGAAAGTTCTTTCCTATGAGAGTGGTGAGATGCTGGAACAGCTGCCCAGAGAGGCTGTGATGCCCCGTCCATCCCTGGAGGTGTTCAAGGCCGGGTTGGATGGGGCCCTGGGCAGCCTGGGCTGGTGTGAAATGTGGAGGTTGGTGGCCCTGCGTGTGGCAGGGGGTTGGAGCTTTGCGATCCTTGAAGTCCCTTCCAACTCAGGCCGTTCTGCGATCCTATCATGTTCCTATGTTAACTGTACATATGTACATAACAAAGGCGATTTATCTCTGGAATACGCATGCTTTGTGAAGAGATCCCCACACACCCAGTGCTGTAATAAACCAGCCGTAGCTTTATGAACTATCATTTACCCAAGGCCCAGCACAGCTCAGCGCTGCCCTCCACTCCCTGTGAGGAGCTGTGGCCGCCATAAGGCCTTCCCTCAGCTTCCTCTGCTCTGGGCCCAACGCACCGCGGGGCCTTAGCACTCCTCACAGCCGTGCCTTCAGGCCCGCCCCCATTTTGTAGCCTGATCTCCCCACAGGACTGACAAATCAAGGCGGCTGAGCACAACGCTCCCACACGCTCCGGTCCGCAAGAACGCACTGAGGCATCTGAGCGCGCGGCGCTATCTCCGGGCGAACAACCGCCGCGCGCTCGCTGATTGGCTGTTCTCCCGCCGATGAGGGCGGGCTGAGTGCCAGCGTAATTTCTCATTCGCTATACCTTGGCGGACGAAGGCCAATAGAAACAAACCGCAGTTACCATGTGACCGGCAACGGCGTCCGTTGAGCCGCGTGGAAAAGAAAGGCGGTCACGTGGCGCGGGGAGGTGTGAGGAGTAAGTAGGCGTCTCATTGGTGGGCGCGCTGAGGAGCTGGCCAATCCCATTGCGCGCGCGGAGCGGGGCGGGCGGTTGCTCCTCTCTGAGGTAACGGCGCCTCAGAACTGTTGGGGCGGCGGTGGGGGGGGGGGGGAAAGAGAGCGGGCAGTGGGCAGCGCTGCGTCAGCCCCGGTCTGCGGGCAGCATGGAGGTGAGGGGCATCGCACCGGGCTGGGGAGCGGCTCAGGGGGCTGCGAGGCGGGGTGGAGCGGTTGGGCTGCGGAAATGTTCCTATTAGAACGTCATCGACTGGTTGAGGCTGCCGGTCACCGAGCGGAGCTGCGGCCCTGTGCCTCTGTCAGGGGAGTTCCCTGAGATTCCGTTTGGGAAAAGGGCTGTGTGTGGAGGCACGGGGTTGCAGCCGGCCGAGGCTCCTGCTGCTAGTGTGTTTTCTCATTGTTTGCTGTTTTGAGATGAAAAGCCATACAACTGCACAACCAAAGGAGAAGTGTGCTCGTAATGTGTCTGAGGGTACCAGTACTGGTGCTGGTAAGTGGGGAGGTTGTCCTGTGGCCACATTGTCATCCTGTAGAGATACAGATGGAGGAGTGCTTGTTCAGAATGGTGTCAGAGCTGTGGAATTGGGCTTTCTGAATTTAATAAGGATTTCAGAATGGAAAAGATGATGAAGGAGAACTACGAGGAGCTGAGGGAACTGAGGCCGTTTGGGCTGGAGAAAAGGCTGAGAGGAGAACATATTGCTCTCCACAACTGCCCAAAAGGGTGGGGGGGTGTTGGGCTCCTGAGGGATCTGGAGGTGTTGGATCGTAGAATAGTCACAGGATCACCTGAAGTGGAAGGGATGCTTAAAGGCCATCTGGTCCAGCTGCCCTGCAGTGAGCTGAGACACCGTCAGTGCTCAGACCCCATCCAGCCTGACCTTGAGTGTCTCCAAGGACGGGTTGTCCACCACCTTTCTGCGCCAGAGCCTCATCACCCTTACCGTAAAAACCTTTTCCTTCTGTATTATAAAAAAGGGATGGCCAGAAGGGACAGGGAGGTGATCGTCCCCCTCTGCTCGGCTCTCGTGAGGCCCCATCTGCAGCGCTGCATCCAGGCCTGGGGCCCCCAGCACAGGAAGGATGTGGAGCTCTGGGAGCGGGTCCAGAGGAGGCACTGAGATGATCAGAGGGCTGGAGCAGCTCTGCTGTGAAGAAAGGTTGAAGGAACTGGGCTTGTTTAGCTTGGAGAAGAGAAGGCTCTGGGGAGACCTCATTGTGGCCTTCCAGTACTTGAAGGGAGCAGATAAACAGGAGGGGGAACAGCTGTTTGTGAGGGTAGGTGGTGATAGGACAAAGGGGAATGGTTTTAAAGTGAGACAGGGAGGTTAAGGTTGGTTATGAGGAGGAAGTTTTTCACCCAGAGGGTGGTGAGGCACTGGAACAGGTTGCCCAAGGAGGCTGTGGATGCCCCATCCCTGCAGGCATTCAAGGCCAGGCTGGATGTGGCTCTGGGCAGCCTGGTCTGCTGGTTGGTGACCTGCACATAGCAGGGGGTTGGAACCAGATGAGTACTGTGGTCCTTTTCCACTCAGGCCATTCTATATCTAGTCTAAATTTGCCCTCTTTTAGTTTGAAACCGTTTCCCCTTCTCCTATCACAACTGACCCTGCTGGAGAGTCTGTCCCCTTCTTTCCCATAGCTCCCCTTTAGATACTGACAGGCCGCTCTCAGCTCTCCCCAGAGCCTTCTCTTCTCTGGGCTGCACAGCCCCAGCTCTGCCTGTGCTCACAGGGACGTGTTCCATCCCTTGGTCTGGATGGGATGCACAGAGATTGGTGTCAGGCTGTGCCAGGGGACGTTGAGGTTGGGTGTTAGGAAGGGTTTCTTCATGGAGTGGCTGGTCGTGCACTGAAGGGGCTGCCGAGGGAGGAGGTGGAGTCTGCAGCCCTGGCGCTGTTTGGGGTGTGCATAGCAGTGGGGTTGGTGGGTCAGGCAGGAGGTTGGACTTGGTGAACTTTCCTACTGAAGTGACTGTAGGTGCTGCAGTTATGTTCTAAATATTGCACCGATAATATCACTGCTTTATTTCTCAGCTGTGTTTTTTTTTTAGCTAGTCGATTTTAACTTTAATTCTGTTGTGTGCCTCAGCATTCTGAAAAGGGGAAGAAAAACCCGAGGTTCTTGCTTTGTTTTCATTGCCTTTTCCCACTGGGCAACTATTTCTGAGCACATCCAGGTAGATGATGGGGAGAAGGGTGTTTCTTAGGGGGAAGAATCCGCAGATAAGTTAGTTAATTAAGTTACTTACACCAATGAGATCTACACTTCCCAGGTTTATGTATAATTATGTCCTTCTACCACTTTTTCCACCTCATCTTTTGTAGCCTAAAGTTGTGTGCAGAGGAGGCAGCTGCTGTTGGAACAGTGCAGGGGCTGGCAGCAGGCTGGCAGATGCGTTCAGCAGTGTGATGGCAGAGTCTGGCTCGCATGGCTGCTACAAACCACAGGTTCAGTTGGTTATAAATAAAATTTGTTTGTCTCTGTGTTTTGGGTGTCTGTAAACAAAGCGGCCAAAAATTTTGTTGTTGATAATGCATGAATCAAATGCTGTAACTTATAAGTGTAAGGTTCAGCCAAAAAGACAGGAACTTAAATGTAGTCGCAATAAGGCTGTTCACCTGTTGTGTATTTCACCTTTTGTTGTCTCTTGTAATTTTTTGCCCAATACCATCTGCTGCGTTGTGATCGATTCTGAAATTTTCTGTCATCGCTGCCGTACTCAAAATTTCAAGAGAACTCCCCCATGAGAGAGATTTTAATTGGAGCAGTGCTGCAGAATGACGCAGGACCTTCTCCCCATCTTTCCTTCTCCCTGGTAACCTCTGTAGTGCAGGAATTCCAGATCAGCCTTTGGCTTTGTTTATTTGGGGCTTTTTCTCAGTCCACTGGCTGAACATCACAGCAGAAGGGGGCTGACAGTAACGGAAAGAAGGAAAGAGTAGATGAGTCCATTGACCTTTTACATTTATGAGGAAGAGTGACAGAAGACAGATGTTTATGTAGAAGGCTGGAAAATACGCGCCCCCCCCCCCCCCCCCCCGGGGGGGCCCCCCAGGAGAAATTAGGACTTTAGCTGGAGATGTGCTAAATCTAGCTGAATACATCAGGAAGGAGTTAACTGTTGGCATACTGAAACATGGAAGCAATTAGAGCCAGCAGAGGGAAATGGCTTTAGAGTAAAGAAAGTGTAGTCATAGAAGTTGTCTGTACTGAGCTGACCTGGGAAAAGAGTGATGTGAAGAATGTAGCAGTTGGAGGTGCCTATGGGAAGAGCAAGAATAGTGAAAACATGGGGGAAGTAAAGAGACGTGGCAGCAAAACCAAGAGGTTGTGACTGAGAGTTGAGTTTAAAATCAAAAACACCACAAAAAAAGCGAGGAGGGAGGGAGGGGGTGAGAATCTATCGAAGAAGTATTTAAAGAAGGACTCAGTGTGGAGTGCTACATATGAAGGAGAATGTGGTGATGGGGAAGATAGTGTTTCAGTTTGTTTTGTTCTTCTGCTAGTATCAACATTTGTAGCAAAGTGAGGAAGAAATTACTATTGTTAGGAAAACTGAGAAGGAGGAGCTTCAGCCTCCCCGCACGTGTTGGGGGGGCACAGAGGTGTTGTCCAAACATTCACATAGAGCAGCTGAGCAGGAGCTGCTTGGTCCGACAGTCGGAAACGCTGTGATAGGAAAATCATTACATCTTTTCATTTTGCATTTCGTAGGCCTAGCTTTTTGCACAGGTAGGAGTCTGAAATGAAAACCCTTTCCCAGTGCCTTCAGGAATACAGCCTGGAAGTCAACAGGAGAGTGGCACTGTGGCACTATGCCCAAAACACGTGGTGTGCTTGTTATGGTCAGCTGGTTGGTCCACCAGTGAAGTCATTTAGAACTTGCAGAATGAAGAAACGGCAATTTAATATTACAATTTATATTATTTCATATTGAAATCCATGTTTCTATTGTCTGTAAAATGCAGAATGAAGAAAACGTAGACCCACCTCAGACCTACAGCTCTTCCCTCTCGACACCAGAATTCTCTGCAGCCGGGGACTCCTCCCTTCTGTACACAGCGTGGTCTGTGTGTGGAGATGACAGCAAGCAGCCCGCTGCTCCTCAGATGAACGTGAAGTCCAGGTAGTCAGCTCTGAGTGGGTGATGGGTCGTGTTGAAGGCGATTGTTTTGTTTGTTTCTTTAACTTAATGAACTGTTTTAAATGAACTGACCCATCTGTTTTCAGAATTCAAATTGAAAGGAATGATTATGGCAGCGAAGCAGATTTATATGAGCTTGTGTCTAGCATCTTGGAAGAGCAGGATAAATCCCAGCCATATTGTGCTGAGGGGTGAGTATGCTGTCATGCAAGCACTTCTGGCATTCTCACTGCTGACAAAAACTGCCCTCACAAGCTCAGCCTGTGTTCTCTTATTCACCTTCACATCTCCTGTTAGCAAGCCCTCCTCCTCTGCATTTTCCTTTCCTCCCCCTTAATCTGATAATGTTTTACTTGTGACAGTACCATGGTAGCTTTTGGTTTTCTGGTATTTACAGAATTTTTTTATTGGAAGTTTTTAAATAAATCTTTAAGCAGCCTGGAAGGGCCGTATTCAGGTAGATCTCCTTCAGTATCATGACTGAGTTCAGACCTGAGGTTTCATTCTTAATTTCAGTCCACAGAAGGAATGCACAAAAGAGGAAATAGTGCTCCTTCGTGCTCTCCTGAATTGACACGAGGGAAGAGTTCTATGAAGAATGAGTTTTCCCTGATGTTTGTGCAACCTAAGTAGTGCTTGCAGACCAAAATGTCAGATTTATTATTCCTATGTTCTAATGCTGAAATAAACCATTAGATAGCCTGAATCTGACTATTCTAGTTCTCACAGATGAGAAAGGGAGCCCAGTTCTTGTGGTTCACAAGCCACTCACCCTTTGTCTTCCCCAGACAGTTCTGGTTTTTGGATGTGTGCTGGCTGATGTGGCCAAAGTGAGACTCTAAACAAAGTCAGTCTTGATGAGAAGGACTTACTAATTCCTTTGCTTTACATAGTTTAGATTTGACAGTGCTGAAAACAAAAATCCAATCTGGGCTGCAGTGCATTCCAGCTACAGTTCCACTTTTTCACTTGGTCTGATTACATAATGATTGCTCTGTTGTTAATCCATAGCACTTGGTAGAAGGAAAGGACGTGCCTGTTTTTAGTGAGTTGATTTAAATGCAGGAAGCAGCGTAAGCCAGTCTAGAATGCAGGTGATTCTGAAGCAAAAAGCAGCGTGAGGCACAGAAGCAGTTTGTGTAGAGAACTTGGACGTGGCTGTGAAGGGTTACGGGGAGTTTAAGTCATGATGGTCTTCATCTTCTACTCTATCAGGAACGTGGAGGTGATGGTAAATCCTTTGGTAGGACTGAGTGCGCATCACTTGGTGCGAACACACCGCCTGCAGCTCACAGGCACTGTATGTGTATCAGTTGTTCAGGCAAACCAGAATCAGCTCTCTAGTTTAAAGTTATAGGAAGATAACAGGCAGAGATAGGAGGATGAAGAGGTGACAATAGTTGGTAATGTTTAAAGTAAGTGATTCTTTCCACAGTGAAATCGTTGGGAGTGAAGTGGTCTTTAAGACTTCTCTCCCCATTTGGGAATGGAGGAGCACTGCAGATGGAATCTAACACTAATGTGTGCTTCTTGCTTTTGTTAAGGAGTTGCTCTTCCAACTTCAAGTCGGTGTGGTCCATGAATGCTACGAGAGTCACAGACCATCACTACCTGTTGTCAGAAACTAAAAGACCACTTGCTGCAGCTGTTTCCCAGCAGAGTTTTTACAGTAGTGAATCAACATCTGCTGCTGAGAAACAGTACTTGCAAAGTGGTAATCTTGCACCACAGCAAAAAGCAGAGGAATGTTATCATGGATTTCCTGCTGCAGACCTCGAGGAGCAGCGCTTGTGCGCTTCTAGGAATGATTGTGCCAACTGCTGCAACATGCAGGCTAATGAGAATATTAAGGCAACACCTGTGTGTCAGAGCTACCCGTGTGTGAAAAGCACCTTCACGCCTCCTGCTGCTTATTTGGAAGCAATCAAGGACTCAGGAGCTGATGCTTACTCCTACAGAAGAGAGAATGCGTGTCCCAAAGGAGCGGATGCACAGCTGCAACAAAAGCAGGCAGAAACACTCTCACAGTTTCAAAGATGCAACGAAAATGCTGATTATGGTAGATATGCTGAATATTCTCATTTTACCAAAGCAAAGCCTACCAAGAGCATCAGCTGTAGCTTCCAAGAAAGTAAAAAAATAGTAAGTGAAATGACTGAAGCATCATCTCTGGATGTAGAACCCTATTCTAAATTATTTCAATTCAAATCAGGTACTCAGAGAAAAATAGAAACAATTCCAGATCAGCAAAACTTTACATTCACCAAGGCTGCAGGACTCCTATCAGAAAAGCAGTTTGCAAATGAGCCTCTATTCTGCAGTGATCTGGGGCAAAAATTTGAGTATGGACTGAATTCTCTTACAGCTTGTCCGGGGAACAGTGACTGTGCAAACGGTGTGGATAAGCCACAGTTTTCCAAGTCTGATCTTCAGAATCCTGAGTACTGCAAACCACTTCCATTATTACCAAACTCAGCAAACTTGTCAGCAGGTGCCAGTGTAAGGCAGGCTTGGATGAACTTCCAAGCCAAACCCGCTGTCCCACCTCAGAGTCCAAGCATGGTGAAACTGAATAATCGTTTATCTACTTTACAGAAAAATTCCAGTCTCCCTAATGACTTCTTGCAGTTATCCTCTTCAAATGTTCCTTTAAATAGTAATTTATCTCACAAGAACTGTCAAGATAAGTCTTTGTTCTTCTCGAGTCTTGATTTTGGTTTTAACGCTTCAGAACGAGCTCAGTCGGCTGCTCTAATGGAAGCACTGGCAAAGACTGGGGAAGAAAACCTCATTGAGTTTTTAAGTGACAAGAAATTAATGCAACCAGATAGAGGCAGCTCAGCTCAGCAGCTGGGGACCCTTGAAAACCTGAACAAGCACTGTTTCCAGTTGAAGCCACAGAGTGGGCATTATGATGTGGAAGGACAAAAGCACTCAGACAGGTTGTTGCAGAACGCGTACCAGGATTCGGTGGAATCTCAGGGTCAGCTCAACCTCAGGCAGGGAAATGGAGGTAATAGTGCTGTCAGTCCCACCACTCAGGCATCAAGCTTTGCCAACAGCTGTGTGATGGCTGACTGGAAGCACAACCATCAGCTTGGTTCAGCTGCTGTGCCCTTGAGATCTGCTCGTCCATTTGGCCGCCTGGTTGTCCCTCTGATGGAGTCCTACAGCATGTTCTCCAGTGACAGCTTAAATTGCTTCTATCCTTATGTTAACGATTTGATGTGCGATGTACCAGCGCTGGGATATCAAAAGCAAGTTAAAATGCACAGTGGGACTGCCAGGGAACTCCGTGTTAAACTGGAAGAGTGTTACGAACAGTGCAGAGCTTTGGAGAAAGAAAGGAAGGAGGTAAAAAATATTTCTTAGTATTCCCTGTCACAGATCTGATCACACTCGAAGGTGAGACCAGTTAGAGAACATGGGAAATCCTCACTAGTAGGAGTTGGAATAATGGGATTTGAGAGAGAAGAGTTTCCCCATGTATTTGAGACTGAAAAGAGAAGTTTTGTTGGTTGATAGCCTGACTGGAGCATAGTGAATGTTGTGCTTACACCAAAATTCAGCAATGTTTTCAGCCTCTGCACTGGGGCCTAGAAGGGTATATTGGGTGGCTAAAAAATAGGAATTACATTGCAGCCCAAGGAGAAATGTATCTGAAAACTTTCAAAGCAAATCTGTTAATTATATTTCAAATTAGGACTAAACTTCAGGCCCTTGAAGAATTAAAATAATGCCCTCTATTCTAGTTCTCTCCTTCCCACCTCCAGTTTGCCTGAAGTTTAAAGCCTAATATGTACTGGAACAGGCTCCTTTTTTTCCCCCAGAAACAAGCTGAAGAAATATAATAATATCGAAACACATAAAAGAAAAAGCTTCAGACAATTCTGTATGGAGCAGTTTCCATGTTTAATGCAATTGCCCTTTTTGTTAACAGCATAAGTGAGTGCCTCAGTCCGTTGTTAAGTGTAAAATCTGTCTTGATTTCACCAGTTTAGGTGGTATGGAGACTCAGAAATGATCTGGAACCACTATTTGGTGTGAAAGAACCTTAATCAAACGTTAGCAGGGGGCAATGGCAGCTGGCCCTTTGCTTGTTGTCTTTGTGGAAGCTGTTGTGTCAGTCCAGTGGAAGAAATGGAATGGAGATTTAACAGATTTTTGCCAGAGCATTGCCTGACAAAAGCCAGTCATTGCTTTGGATACAGTGGTTAGGGGGAGGCAGGGCTCAACTTGAGAAGGGGAGATTGATGTCTGTGTGTAGATGTAAAGGGCAAAAGAGGAGGAACTGAGATGGAGGTGGCAAGTAAATAAAACCACTTTATCTTGTGATAATTGCTCTATTTGTAGCACTTTGAGTAAACTGGTTGTTGATTTGAAAGAGGTGATTTTCACACCAAATGGTTAAATCCCAAATTAAATCCATGTTATCTACTTAAAAAATCCAAAACCCTGAGGGGAAAAAGCTGTATGTCTTAAACTTCTTGCTCCTGAAGCAAAGCACGCCTCACAACTGCTGTTCTGAAGGAGATGATCTTTTCGTTTTCCTGCAGACTGAATCAGCTCTTGCTAAGAGTTACCCAGGGAAAAGCATTTCCAGTAATAACAACGCTCCAGTTCCAAGGCTGACATCAAACTCATCAAAAGTTGATCGCTTAATTGTGGATCAGCTACGTGAACAAGCCAGAGTGAGTTGTAAAAAAATTGTAAAAATCTGTTGAGTTTCTTACACAGAGTACAGTAGAAGGTACATGCTTGTCAGAGCAGCCTTTCTCCAGATGGTTTTGTTCTTCAGGGCTATGCAGGAAATATTTCAGCAGTCCCTGCTGGGACCTTTACAGCTCCAGGTTCACCCCAGGTCTTAGCAGGGAACCCTGGGTATCTCAGGCTCACAGTTACAGATGTCCAGGCCAGGACAGTGTGTTTCCTACTACAGAGCTGTGCATGCAGTGCCAGAAACCAACCAGCTGGCCAAACTGCTTGCACAGCTGTAAGATATCCCTGCATTCTGAGCTGTTGGGCACCTCTTGCTCAGCAGAGAAATGTTCATTACAGCTTTGCACTCACTATATTAGAGGAGGCACCTGTGGGGGGGGGGAAAGGAAACAAACATATTTATTAATGTTTTTAAGACATTATGATGCATATTTGCATTACAGAGCTGTATTTGTTAGTGAGGAATGGGTATTTGTGCAACTTCAGCTTGAATGTCTGCACTGTTAATTTGTTTTTTAAGCTTAAAACAGGCATAGGCTGTAAGTCTTGTGCCTTTTGAGCTGCGTGTGGCTCTGTGGCCAAATGATGGTGCCAGTGTGCAGCATGGTGCTGCCTGTGCAGAATCCTGTAAGGGAGACCAGAGGGAGGAGGTGAATGCAAACAGAGCAGATCTGTGCTGCCACAGATGGTGGTGGGCTTGCTTCCGGGCTGGGAGACCAAAGCCAGGCTGCCTGCGCTGCAGAAGGAAAAGAGATGTGGGCTGAGCAGCAGAGGTGCTGAACCCGTCCCTGCAGGAGGATGAAAGGCAGAGGCTGCTGTTGTGAAAGATGCTGGTTCTTGGAGGAACAGACAGCTCAGCTCCCAAGGCAGCAGTGCTAAGGCTCAGTCTTTCTTACCAGTCTCATACAGGTGAAATAAGCCATGGAGCCACGCTGGCTTACTGCCTGCTGGGATCAGCCTTCTGCAGCTGCCTCTTTTCTTCCTACAGCTGAGTAGAGAGCAGAGTGAAAATGCATCCACAGGCTGAAGTCTTACTGCAATTTTCCTGAACTTTGGAAGAACAGTGTAAGGGAACTACCTCTCATTTCAGATGGCCTGTCCTCATCTTTAAGACTGTGCTTAAAGGAGGGCTTAATCTTGTCTAGCTATGTGAGGAACCAACCTTCAGAATAAAGAACCTCGAATGCTTATTACACAGCAGCTGAAAAGTAGTTTCAAGGATGCTCAAAAGCACAGTAGGCAGTTGAACCTAGATTTGTAGCATCAAAAAGTGCAGTGACAGCCAAGGAGAAAAACTGGTACAAAGGCTTGAGTGAAAGCTGAAGTGGCCGGATGTGGGATTAACTCTTGGTAGCATAGAACCTCTAGTTAAAACCCTCTTGGTGCTCACAGACGTTTTTCCATTTCTCATTTGAGACTCTCATTTACAGCTGCTCTTATTTCCAGAACAAAATGTAGCTGCAGAAGAGACAATAGCTTCCTTCACTGTGCCAGTCAGTAGCTATTAACAGCACTTAAACTAAGATCTACCCTGTACAGACTCTCATCTCCTTTGGGTCTGGTAAATCTCCAGCTCCTCTGTAAGTGCAGAATGCCACTGCAGAATGTGCTGAGGCTGGATGTTCAGTCTCACCTGTTGAAGTTTTCATAAGTAAAACACAATAGTCCCTGATGGACACACGTCACTGTATGATAAACAGTCATCAAAGCTGGACCTGAAACTTCAGTCCTTATTCACTGGTGTGTAAGGGAAGCTGCTGGCTTCCTGCTGCTCCCACTGAGGGATCTGAGTGAGAGAGCAAACAAGCCCTGTGGCAGTCAGAAGGGAGGAGATGGGAAGTCGAGCATTTGAGCCTTTAGTGCTGCTCCTTGGGCTCCAGGGCAGCCCAGCTTTGACTCTTGTGGATTTTGATTTTACTACCTGTTGGTTCTCCCTGGCTTGTTGTAAAGAGTGCAGGCATTTGACTTGCTGCAGTGGGTGCATTAGGTGTGAGCATGGTACCTGAAAGCCAGATCTTGGAGAACCTAACTTCTGCGGGTCTGGATGTCACTGTAGCACCTAACTTAATACAAAAATGGCCTGCCAGGATTACCAAGTCCAACCATCAACAACTCTAAGATGAGAAATGACTGCCAGGTTCATCTTTCTTCGTTTTACTTGCTTACATAATCCTGCTGTGCCACTCCTTGAAATTTGTCCTTCAGAAGCCACACTAGTGATTTCCAAACGTTAGCAGCTTTTGTTTCCTCTCCCAGTGACTGATTCCTCAGTTGTTTATGTGAAATTCACCCTGCTCCCTTCCTTTTTTTTTTTTTTGTTATTATTATTTTTTACTCTATAAATGTGGGTTGTTATTTTGAGTTTACTGTTTGCTGCTGCTGCCACAGAAACCTGTGTAATTTATTAATGCCTGCAGTTTTTTTCCAGGCTTTCACAAGATGTAAGGGGAGGCAGGACTATCCTGTCAGCAGGAGCTTGCTCTTCCTGAATGCTCTGCAAAGCCCGGTGCCAGGGAGCCTTGCTGCTGTGTGTGCTACTGCCAAAACAACTGTCTTGGCCTGCAGCCTGCTCTGAGGAGACTTGAGGCGGGTTGGACGAGTTGTCCTGCCTCACATGCTCTGGTTTCCCAGCCTGTTGTTAGATAAACCGAGCATTTCTCCTTTTCTTAGGAAAGCCTCCAGTCCTCCTGTTGTTAGGAAGCATCAAGAGCTTGGCTTTGCATTGTGCTCCCAGCCCCTGTTTGTTTGTTTGTTTGTTTTTTCACTTATTAATCACCAATAAACATTACATGGGAATTCTGTAGCCTGTATCTGCAGACAAGGAGCCAGGTTCTCCAGAGGCCTATGAGCCTCAGCTGAGGAATCACTCACCAAAGGAAAATTCTTAGTAATGTAAGTGTTGTAAGATAAACAAGCCAGCAGAAGTGCAGATTTTCATTTCTCTGAAGAAAACGGTGATTTTTGAGTGCTTGTGCTTAATATCTATCCTGAAAGGCAGCCTATGGGTGTGGATACAGCAGCTGTTGGCAGTCCAAGCTGCTCTCCCCTGCTGATGTTGGCACAGGGAAATCGCCTGGGTGAAAACTGGGCAGCCTCTGTGGGATTCGTTCTCATCCAGGTGGCTGCAGCAGTGCTGATGGAATGTAAGCAACAGAAATGTAGGTCAAAATGTTGTCAGGGAAACCACCTGTTACGAGATTGTCCCAGAGTTGTAATATCCTTTATTAACTGGTGAGCTGGGTGTCTTGGTGTTGTTACTGTGCGTTTTGCTGTTCTGTGCACGCCTATTTTACAGCTTTGTTTTTGGAGAAGAAAGAATTCCAGCTAAGAATTTTAACTGCTTCACCTATAGCTTTATGAACGGTTCCCAAAACAAAATAATGGTTACAGTTAATCTTTTCTTCCTAATCTGCTTGCTTTCCATGGAAGTGTAGGTGAGTACAGCTTGAGCTCTTGTAACTTGTGTCAAATGTTCATTAGGTCGTGACTTTACTGGGGAAAATGGAGCGCCTTCGCAGTTCTCCCCTTCACGTCAACATTTCCACTGCTCTTGATAAACATCTGGAGGTGATTCGTGTTGTGCAGATGCGTAGAAAATATGAGATTGTAAATGCTTCCCATCGACCAAAGCAAGGAGCTCCCAGGTGCCAAGATGACCGAGGTATGACTGAGCTGGCATACGTAATGAAGTAGCTGCAAAAGTCTGTGTTAAAATGTCTGAGAGTTTGGATGCTACAGTTTCATTTTGTTTTACAGCCAGTTATAATCTGAAGTTATTTTTCAGCTCTGAGTGAAGCAGACCGTCTTTTCTAGGTGATGAGACTAGTTAAATCAGTTTTGATTGCATTTATTCAATCAATTATGTAATGCAGCTTGTCACTGGAGATGATTTTAAGCTGTTGCCTCATTCTCTCTGTCCCTGGTAATGCTGTAACCATTACCTCTGTAGCTCTGTCTGTATCTTAATGTTGAACCTGTGAAGAGTGATCAAGGTGTCCTTAAGTTATGAATGCACTTTTTAAGCATTGCTAGTGAAGACTGGCAAAAAAAACCCAACAAGTAATGTTTTGGATGGATATGCAAAGATGTACTGTCGAGAATGGTTTTATTCTTCGTGGTATCCAAAATATGCAGAATGTTCAGCTTAACCTCTCAGGAGTGCGCAGGCAGAATGGCAGCTTCTTTCCTCTTTTTGTTCCCAGATGTAAGAATAAAGCCCTGCCACCTGTGATGCTCTGCTCCATGGCTTTGTGATGGAAGCATTGTTACAGTTCTGACACTGCTCTGTTCATCTTCTGCCTCCTTTCCAAAACTGAGTGAGATGGATGACTTTATGCCTTTTGTGTTTCCCGTCATGCAGTTCTACAGTTCTCAAGATTACTTCAATAGATACTCTAACAATTTTCCTTCTCACTTCTTCAGGCGTTTTTGTTTCTCTTTATCTTGAAGGTCATGTGACATTTTTGATCTTTAAGCCCATGAAAATAATTGGCACTGGCTTTAGTGCTACGCCTTAACCAGGTCAGTGAGCTCTTTGGAACTGAGTAGACAAGAAAACAACTAGCTGTCTGTCGTGGTTTGCAGGCCTGCTCCCTGGCCCAGCTCCTCTAGGGAGAGAAGAGGAGGTGGCCTTGCACAGCAGGATCTGATCATCGAACCAGACGGTCTGTGCTTTCTACTTCAGCTTCTCCTCTGCCATGCTGGCTGGCTGTGAGATTGTCAGCCTGTTGTAGCAACTGGTGAGACATTCAAATGTTAGCATACTCAGCAACTATCTTTGCTGCCTGTTTGGGAGAGCTTTGAGGAAAATGCCTCAAACTGTGCATCTCCTCTCTTTGCCAGAGCTTCCTTGTTAGTGTGTGAGTTCTGTGAGTTTTGTTCTGTTTGAGGAAGGGTCTCCCTCAGCTCCACCTTGTTCCCATGGCACCTTTATACTCTATCTGATACGATACTGACTACCTTACAAAGCAGAGTCTGACCGTTGTGTCCTGTGTTCTAGGAGATCTGATTTAAACAAAACTTGTACTTGAACCGTGGCCTCATTTTCTCCTAGCTAACTCTTTTGTTTGGACACAGATTTGCTTTGTTGGGTAGCAGGTAGATCTGGGCTGCCCCATGGCAAGTCTGAAAGATTCTGCTACTACACACAAGAGTTGCAGAACTGTACACAAAATCTGGCAGTTGTTTGTAAATGGTTTTGACCAGCTAATGAAGGAAGTTCTGCAAGAAATCATGATGATGAGAAGGTTTTTCCTGACTGCTATTTGCCACCTAGATCAATTCAAAGCCATTTGTAACCATCCCTCTGTTGCCTGAGATTTGATGTTCAGGATCTCTCAAAATAATCTAGATGTTACAGATGATCTTTTGAGGACAGAAAAGACCTCTTTAATGTCTGCAGCTCTTGGATACTGCATCCACAGACTTTAAAACAACTCCTCCTTATTTTGGTGAGATTTTCTCTTATTACCTGGTAGTGACCCAAATACCAGCTGTATCTTTCTGCTTTGAGATGTGCATTTCTGTGTCACTTGTTTCTTACATTCTTCTGATGGTTGAGGTGATACCATTTCTGTGGGCTGTTCTTTCACAAAGCTTGATGTGAAAAGCACGATCTTGAACGCTCAAAGGATGGCAATTCTATCCTCCTGTTCTGCATTCTGCCCTTGATTTCTCCAGAATTATCATTACAAATATTACCTTGAAGAATTCTATGGGTAGTTGATATTTGTGTTGCACGAATGGACTTACTCCCTTATTCTTCCTGGTTACCTAAATCAGCTTTCTCTACCACTCCTTCCGTCACCTTAGCAGTGGTAACTGTAAGAGGAATCAGTGCTCACTGTTTCTGCAGAAGGAAAGAACGAGGTCTCAGAAAGGTTTTGCAGAAATCAGCCATTGAGCGAGAGCCAGACAAGCTGGTGAAGAGGGAAATGATGAGGGGATGAAGTTAGGCCTTGAAATTCTGTCCTTGTCTCTCAGACCCTTCATATCTCCAGGAGCAGAATGCTTTCACCTACAGAACCCAGGGCTGCTGCTTGAAAGTAGGTGCCAGTTTTGTGCAGTAAAAGGAAACTGCAGTCATGTTCCTGAGCCTGAGTGCCTGGGGAAGCAGGTCTTAAGTCAGTGTCTTCCACTTCTTCCAGTCCTCATGGAAGTGTTTGGCAGGGGAAGCAAGTACACATGCCCTTTCTGTGCAGTCCAACATGCAATGTAGAGTTAACCTGGAATAAAACAAAGTTCTGACTGAAAATTCTGGTGCCTCGAGGAGAGCATTAAATGTTTCCTCACAGAGGCTGGAATTGAAATCCAGTAATTACCCACACATTTAGTGATGGTTGTATGCACTGAGCTGTTGAGTCAGCGTGCCACTGTGCCACTCTGCCTCCCTTTACTTTGAAATGGTGGGTTTTGACACATTTTTGCAGAACGTGGTCTGCACACTCTAATAAAATGTGCTAAATGAGCTTCTCCTCCACCTCTTGCCAGAATAATTTCTTAGGCAAAATGGGCAGAGGGTCCGGTTTGTAGACCTGAAGGCTCGCTGTGAACATCCAGCAGTGAGCTCAGGGAGGGGGTTTGGCTGTAGAATATTTCACAGAGGTGACTGTGAGGTGACTCCCTCCTGACATGAGATGAGAGCAAAGTAGGAGAGTTAATAAAACAAGTACCTGCGTTCCGCCTTCTTCAATTAGGGCCTAAAAACACTGCTTTCTCAGATGGAACTTTTACGACCTTTTACAGGAAGAGACAAAATCAGACTCAAAAGGGTCTAAAAGATGCTGCTTTTTGACCAGCAGCGCAGCGATGAACTGTGTAGTAAAGATTAAAGCTCCTTTCTCCCTCGCAGACGTTTTAGCTCTGGTGTTGGCCATCAGTGAGATGAGCGCAGCGACGCGTCGCGTGCGTACGACTCTGTGGTGCGCCCTGCACATGAGCCTGCCAAAGCCTGCAGCCAGACAGCTGCTCACAGCAAAGGCTCTTTGGGAGCGGGCACGGCCTGAAGAGAAGCGTGCGAAAATCTGAACGGCCGTGGCAGCGCGGATTGGATGGCAGAAACCAGGTGCAGAGGAAAAGGCGGCGGCGTGCGCCTGCGAGGAGGTGATGACGTTCATTCTTTCTAATTACTTGTGACGTTCAAACTGCTGATACTCGTATTTAAAGCTGTATCTTGAGGGGAGGTTGAATTTTCATCAAGGGCTCTCGGTTTCTCCTTAAACTGCTGAAACTACAGGCAGGACCATAACATTGGGAAGCCCAACTGATGAATGCTAAGTAATCGCACTAATTAAACAACGAGCACCCAGGACGTCATTTGACGTCTGCAGGTGAGCCTTGGTGTAGAATTCTTCTGTTAAGTTTGTTTAGTTTTGTTTTAGAAAAGGGGTTTTAAAATAACGAGTCTTAAAGATTACAGTCTTTCAGACTACAGTCTACTGTGGTGTCCAGGTGGTTTCAGACAAGATTGTGACATAAAAGTGTTTTCTTTATCAAACCAGTACCTGTAAACAGGAGGAAGAATGCTAAGAGTACTCAATATTCATGTAAAATTAAATATTTAACATATTAGTATTTATGAATTTGAGATTTTAGAATCCACGTTTGTGAAAGGAAATGCACCAGATTCTACTAAATTAAATGATGATAAAATTGCTCTTGCAATTTAGTAAATGTATTCAAATCATTTGGGCACGCCCTCAGGAAAAGAAAGAACCTGTTTTAAAGTACCTAAACATAATCAAAATGTGACATGCACACAGTATTAACCTCTAAAAAAGCTGTACAGCAGCTGAAATAATGAGTATTGTTTTTAATGCCTTCACTTGAAAACTCTGATGGAGGGTAGGCATCACAATGTTCTGAAACTTGTGTTTTTTAAAGTTACTCTTTCACTAGTCTGGTTTGTGATTTGATTGTCCTATTTTAGACATATTAGTTTACATCTGTGTTTCTGACAGCTCTTAACACTTGGTGCTTATGTGCACATCTTATCTCAATCTCTGTACTGAGTATAAATAACTTATTCATTGATAAAAGCGTTGGTATTATGTGACTTAGGAGAGGAGGGGTTTCAGCACTTGCAGCGTCGCGTTCAGAACGCGTGGATTAAGTTCATTCAGTTTTCCTTGCCTCGATGCACTGCTATTTGAAACACAGTCTGCATTCTTCCTACTTGTGGAAATCCTGCCACGTACGAGATGGAATCACACCACATAAATTGTCATTAGGGATTATGAGAGAAACACTGAATGAGAACGCAGGAGAAAGGAATCACTTTGATCACTGGTATGGCCAGAAGTACTGCCAGAGCGAATTCACGGGGCAGGAGGACAAAGCACTTTTCATACCACAAGTCACTGCATTAAGATTTGTTAACTAGGACATGTTGGTGTTAAAAACAAATGGAATTTAGTCTGTCTGGTAAGAAATAAATTAGCTTTCGTTGCAGAGAATGTGTTCTGTTTTCCTTCGTGTCTCGGTTCCTAAAGCATTCTCCAGTAACAAGGATTGTCATTTTCATTTACCTAATGAAAGGTGAGGTACAAAGCAGGGGGTACTGATATTAATAAAGGACATGACTGCAACTTTAGACTATGGCAAAATTGAAACAGTGCAGTGAATCCAAAGTGTATCTCAGTTCAAAGCTCTGTACTGTCATACAAAGCTCATGCAATGAATTCAGTACCTGCAGTAGAAATCTTAGGAGTGTGCCTGGGGTCTCCCTGGGCCTCAATGCCAGGACAAGGAGAGAGAAATAACATTTGCTATCAGGCACTTCCTACCAGAGACCCACTGGTCTCCTGAAAGTTATGTGTCATCAGTGCTCAATTCTGCATCAACAGCAAGATTTATTAGCATTTGCTAACAGCTCTGTGGCTTCAAGGAAGATCTGTGACAGCGTGAGCGAGGAAGCATTAACTGTGCTGAAACAGGCTGACGGCCAGGGAAGAGCTGACCTTCACTGCTGTTGATTCATGCAGCTGTGCTCATATGCAGGACTTCACTGTGCTTCGCTTCTGGCCCCAAAGCCTGGGGCAGCAGCACTCTGGTACGGCTCCACAGGGCCACGGGAAGAGGTGTGAATGAGAGGAACCACACCAGCTCAGCCCCCTGAAATACTGCTGCTGGGTAAGAGAAAGTGAGGGTGTGGGACGTGGCATGGAGCCTGAGGACAGACCCTGTGGCTGTCACTACCGCCGCAGACACAAGAGGAGCCCGGCTTCTTGGCCAGCCATCTTTATTGTTCAAGTCCAGAGATAAAGCAGATACTCACACTTGCAAAAATAGTTAAATAATAGGATGTGTTACCCCTCAATCAGACTGGTGCTGAAAGTAGGCAACAGGGGCAGCTACCACCAGGCCAGGAGCTGCCTCCTGCCAAAAGCCAGCCTTGCATGTGAACGCAGTGGCCAGAACATGAAGCAGCACAGGGATGAGGTGCACTGGTTCCCCTGTGCCCCTGGAAGCACCACAGGTCCTTCCTCCACACACAGAGGGGAGTTTAGGTGATGCTGCCACGAAGAAGGCTGAAAACGGCAGCTAAAGAGCCCTTGTGGGGTGAGAGAAGCCTTCACCCCCTCCTCACAGCTCCTGAGTAGGGCTGGGCCAGATGGAGCGACTGCTCATAAAGCCAGAGCATCCAAACCAGTCACAGCCTGCATTAAAGCATTTTCTCTGACAGCTGCTGTAGAAATAACAGTGGATGTTCACCCACACAGAACATCACGGAGCACCATTTTCCAGCCACCAGCATTAAGTTTCAGAACAGCACAAGGGCCTGACCAATTTGCTGCTGCTTTAGCTGACACTCCAATCACTGTGCTTTTCCCTTACCAAGACTGTGGGTGAAGTGGTCTCATAGCTGTAACTCATATATATTTCATATGATTTCCTTTCTCTTGCTGCAGAACAGCACTTGCCCTTGCTGAGGGCAGAGCCAAACCCTGCTCTTTCAGCCAGAATGAAGATGTAGCATTGTTCTTGGCAGCACAAATAAACGTATTTGCAAATACATTTTTCAAGGCTAGTGTAAATTCACATTCACCCCATAGCAGCAAGTCCTTAACTGCATGTCAGAGAGGGGCTTTGCTCTGTTCTTAAGTCATAACATGCTGTTGCTGCAGTCCATGGATGCAGCCCATTCACAAGCCCTCTCCTACATCTTGCTTTAACTAGTTAGAAGTAAAACTGATCAATTTGAAACACAAATATCGTAACTTCACTGTTCTTTGGTACAACACTGGCCACAAGAATGACTGGGACATTTGACACCACAAGCACATGGCAAAACTTGAGTTTAAGAGGTGCTTGAAATTTCTTTTTTGCTACGTAAAATAAAGGATAAGTTTCCGAAGAACCGGTCACCAGCCACGTGCCCAGAATTTCTGCTGCTTTTTAAACACACACCATATTCATAACTGATTGTATCCCCTTAAAGTCCAACTAGCAAACCCCAGCTATCGCTTCCGCTCTCCTTTCTGTGTCCTTTTCTTCTCCTTCTCCTTCCGCTCCTGCTTGGCTAACTTGTCCTTCTCTCGCTGCAGTTTGTCTTGCTCCTTCTTCTTCTGGAACTCATCTCGCAGCAGCTCCCGCTCCAGCTTTCTGGCATTCAGGACATCCTCCACATTGGTGTTTCGGAACAGGGCTGGTAGTGAGCTAAGGGCAGACAAGGTGCTCTGAACACACAGCTTCCTCTTTGTAGTGCTGGTTTGAGGCCGTACGCTGACTCTGTAGGATCAGCCACAATCCACCTACAACAGATCTCAGCTGCTCATTTTTCTCCCAACTCTGCAGGGAGAGAAATCCCTCAGCCACCAGCTCTACAAAAGGAGATGCACAAAGACAAGGAACGTTTCTGACTCCCCTCTCTGCTTTCTCACCAAGCGGGTCAACAACCTGGAAGTAACATGAGGAAGGAAAAAGAACCTCTGCCTGTGCCGTGATAAATCCTGCTTCCACCCTAAACTGCCAGCTGCAGAGTTGCAGGAATGTTCCAAATAACACCAACAAAAACACTGTTGGTGTCTTTGGCTCAGCAACCATGCCCTCAGTGTACATACAACCAAGTGTACCACAGCGGTCTTGTTCCAATTTCACTTACAATGATTCCTGACATGATTTGCCTCTTTGGACACCGCTCAGAATTAAACTGATGTTTGGGAAAATTATCTGTATCGGTAACATTATGTGAAGCTTCAGAGAGGACAGTAGAGGAAAGGAAGGCATAAAGGACAGAAAAGGAAAGGATCAGTCTTAGAAAGAATGGGAATTTCGCAGCAGATGCTGCCATCCTCCCAAAAACCCCAACTCAGAGAATCAAAGGATACATTTTTCTGATCCAATGTTTAAGGCTGTTGCAGTGGAGCTGTCCTGTTCATCGTCGCCAGTGAAAGAATTAAGGAACTGTGGGCACTGCTCGTGGACTTGTGCTCCTGTAGACTCACTTGGATCCAAACCTGTCAGATAACCATTCTACCAGGCCAGGAGGAAGAAGCTCAACACAAACACTGATGATTGAGAACGAGACAAGCGTAAAACCCAATGTTTAACTCCCTAAGCTGGGACCTCCCATGCTTTTTGCCATGGAAACTCCCTCACAGGGAAAAAGATGGACAAGTTTCTCCAATTCCTCCACCAGGCACTGCAAAGCCAGGAAGGCTATTTTAAACAAACATAAAAAGGATATTCCTCTTCATCTGTCACGTTGGCATACTGGGCCAGGAGGGCTGCCTTCCTCTGCTTCTCCTCCTGCGAGATCTCCTTCGGCTTCACGATGATCCTGGCCTGCTTCTCCATCATGCTGGTGATCGCCTGGACCTCATCTGCCAAAAACAGAGCATCAGTCAGCACCCCAGCAGCGAGGGCCTGCTGGCAGCTGCCACACCAGGTTTCCACATGGGTTTGCTTTTGTGCTCCATTTAAAAGCTGGAAGATACCCTTCAGGTTTTGTGTTTCAAACACTTCAGCTTTCTACCGAGAACGAACGCCCCATTCGTGTCTTCTAGAAATTACAAGTGGGTACTGAC